GAACCCGAAAGGGTTGGTGTCCGACTCGGTCTCGTCGCCGCTGTCCCGACCGTGCGGCGAAGGTGGTGACTGCTGACGACGCGCGCCGCCAAAGCCCCTTCCTCCACGTCCACCGCGAGCTCCGCCGCGACCCCCCCGGTCTGCTGGGTCGCGGTCCGCACCTTCCCGTGCCATCAACATCCGCATCGCCGACCGGATTTCATCGATACCTTCCGAAAGCCCTTCGACCTTGCGATCAACCCGTTCGATTTGAAAGCCGAGATCATCAGTTCTACGATCCAAGTCCTCCAAATGAGCATCACGTCAGTCGTTGTCGTTCCGTTTTGGCGGCATCTTGAATCGGTCTGACTCTGGATACCAACTGACGCAGGAGAAACGTACGAAAGGAGAATAAGAACTCACAAAGAGAACTCAAGAGATAATTTTATTCATACGATGTCTGCCTTACAATGAGAACTCATCCCCATTTAAATAGACTTCCCAAACCCTAGACTTATTTTAGTATTAGATATCCCAAATCATAAATAAAAGGAAATAAATATCCCAAATCATAAATAAAAGGAAATAAATAAAAATAAATAAAAGTGCTATAAATAATAAATAACTAAATACGAAGGCGATCGAATTTGTCCAGATAAGCCAATGCGATCTCGTCGCCATCACCTTTCCAGCCTAGTCGGAGGTCGGAGGCTTTTTTTGCTCATTCCACGGCCTCGAGGAAGGATGGCGTCGGCCTGGGCCCGCAACCTCTTTCTCCAGCCAGGATTGTGCATCGTCCTTCATCGTTGCCTCTTACCCTCTGCCAGCCGTTGGAGCCCCTTGGCTTGCCGCTTTTCCTCTTAAATTCTGAATGGCGTCTCTCCAGTTTGACCATGCGCGGACATGTGGTGTAGTCCTCTCTCGGGCTTTAGTGTTGGGCTCCAAGGGTGTGCCAAGTCGGTCGTCTTCCTAGGTGTCTTCACCTTGTCAATTGTTGAGAGCGCTTAGATCTGAGCTAAGAGCTAAGGTTTCCTCTTTACCAGATCTGACTAGCCACTTCTATGGAATTTTTAGTTTTGGAGTCCTCTTTTGCTGCTCCCCTTGCACTCGGTTTGGGTGTTTTGGTGTTTTTTTGAGTTTGATTCGTCTGCTGGTTTTGGTCGTCGTCGTTGGGTGCTCGCGTGTAGTTGGGCAGGTGTTATTCTCTTGTAGTTTAGGTGTGTGTGTCTTTAATGTAGGTTTGATTCTCCACTAGTGGGAATATAATCTCCACTTGTGTAGTTTTAGTTGCAGCTTTGATTGAGTTCCCAGCTTGTCGGTTTTAAACTATTGTAAACGATGTCGGGTGCATGGACTCTATTGTAGTAGTTAGTCTAGGGTGCTCTGTCAGCATTCCTCTTGAGTCTACCTTCTTGGTAAATTTGTTGAGCTACTTAGTCCCGTATTTCCTATTGTAAATGCACCTTTTGAAGTATAAATATATTAAAAAAAAAAAAAAAAAA